CACCTATATCCAACATTAATGAATAATTTGTGTTATCAATTCAATTGCCTTCATCTAATAATAGAATTCTATTCTTTTTGAACAGAAAACCCATTAGTGTGAGTTATGTGACTACATAGCATGTAAACACATTGTAACACTCTTTATCAATTCATTGGCTTTTGCATTATAATTCATAAAAATTATCTTCTTTTTATTATTATCTTAAAATTATTATTAGCAATCAATTATTAAGCCATCCCAATACTATTGCTTTTTGTTGTTTCTGCCTATAATTTCCCTCAGGAGAAAAAAAAAATAGTTTAAGTATTTAATATTTCTTGTAATCAGTAATTTGTCTCTTGTGTTCGTGTTTTATTGTATTTCTCAAGGGAACATTTAGTGTCAAAATGCTGATGTCTGCAACTGAAATGGTCTAAATATTACAATAATGCAACTACAGAATGGGATAATCATGTCATTTTTTCTGCAATTAATTTTGTAATATATATTTCACCGCAGTTGAAGTTGTATTGTCAAAATTAATAAATAGAACAGCTCTGGGATTACTTGCTTATAGTTGAACATATCACAGAGTAGTTTTGTAGCTTTGATTGTGATTAAGTTTTCATCATCTTAGGGTGTCACCGAATTGCATGCAAGATTCTTTATTTGATAATTGAATATGAACTATTTACAAATATTCAATGTGTAAAGTAATTCCCATTATGATTAATGAGATGAACGTTGTTTCTAATAGCCATTAGAACCCTTCCATGTTTATAAGATACCTATTTTACTCTTGTTACTACAGTGTTTGGGTAAACATTAATCATTTCATACCTTCTAGGTTAGCTGTGTTAAGCTTTCTCCCAAAGTAAGCTTATTGTTGTGAAGACAATAAATAAATTTATCACATGAATTTTCAAGGATTTTCAAAGGATTGTAAATTAACCCTTAGGGAGCCAAAAAATTTATACAATAGCATTCAACAAATTACGCAGACTTCTAGCAACAAAGTTTATTCCCACCAAAACAGACGTGGTGTTGATAACATAATGCATTTTAATGAACATCTAATGAAATTGACATTTTCTCAAAACAAACTGTACCAAATTCCCTGCAAAACTGAATTAGATTATGCTGCTGCTGTTGTTGTTGTTGTTGTTGTTGTTGTTGTTGTTGTTGGAGAACTTTTCAGTACTTCATTTGGTTTGGGAAACTAGGGATTGAGGACTTGGACTGGAGATCTCCAAGTAATAAAAAGTTCACGTTGCAAACTCAGCAATCATCATTCTCAACCCCAATCACAGCATGTCACATTGTCGCTATGATTCGTAATTTCCCAGTTTCAAAGTTATGTCTAGACGTTTGTTTTCTGAACACAATTTAAAATGCACATTGTGATGATCAATTCTAAGTCTGATTTTAGTGTCCAGTAGTACTGTAAAATCTGTATTAGTAGCCGCAACTTCTATTGAAATGGTACAATACACATATGAGAAATGATTAATTTTGATTTTTGGTTCTCAATTGTTCAAAAAGAATGGGTGCGGCTTTTATTGGGGATGCTGCTTCTAATACAGATTTTACGGTAGCACCAAAATTCAATTACTAGGTTTTTCTTGAAAATGTTACAGAACTTTAGTATATTCAATGCAAGGCCATCCTAGAGTAGACCATAGTACAGTCAGTATAAGTACAGTCAGTATAGCGGATCTTGATTTTGTCAATCCTGTTGCCCAGCCATATTGACAACTAGGCAGACACTGCTTGAGTGAAAAAAATATATGAATGCAAAAACACTGCAGAATAAATGAATAAAAACATTGCAAATAATTTGTTCTTAAAGAAATTACTGTGTGATAAGACATATAATGAACTTGTTTGGCAGCGTACGTGTCAATAACTGAGAACCAGTATGGTGACCCACCATATTCTTTATTTTATTTTCTTCATTGTTGTTTATGAAATGTCTAGTACAAAAATAAAGCAAATGTCATTTTTAGTAGTGTCAGAGGTACATTACTTGGGGTTTGCAACTACGGTGACATGATATCAAGATCCCGTTTCAATCTTGCTTTCGCATAAGCATTCCAACTCAGAAAAATGCGCATGCCTCAGGTAACTAGAATACTGGGATGTCCAGATGGATTAAAATAGCTGCTCATGATATGACGGATTACGATAACTATATTTTCTGTTCATTTTCGATGTATTACTTTTTTTCACTATGAATGTGGTAATACATGTTTTATTATTTTATTACAAACCGCCTATGTTGTTTCAAAAGATTGTAGCATCAGTCTCGCTATCTACGACATGAGACTTAAATGGGATCTTGGCATGATGTCACCATACAGTACTATGCACTTTGCAAACTCCAAGTAATGTACCTCTGGTAGTGTTAATTAATATTAATATCTCTTTTTGATTTGCATACTCTATTGGGATGTACTTTTAATATAGCAGACATTGTATATCTGGGTTTTAACTTGCATACTCTATTGGGATGTACTTTTAATATAGCAGACACTGTACAACTGGGCAGTGTTTCCCCTGAAATCCCACAACTGTGTGGTTTCAATTAATATAATAATACAGCATTTCATTTCTTTCTTTAGATCTTGATGCAGACAAAGGAACTTGTGCAAAAGGTAATTCATTTTCTTAATTAATTGGTGACTTTAAACCAGAATAAAGCAATGAAATTTTACAAGCAAGATCCTGTCAGTGAATACTTAATTACTGGTTTTGGGTTCAATGGACTAGTTTTACTGAGTAGTAGGATGATGCTGTGTCCAAAATCTGGATTACTCTGGATGGATGAAAGTGGGTGACTTATTCTCAAAAAACTTTGAACAGATTTTCGTTGTGCTGCTGCCTTGTTGAGTGTAAATGGCAATTTGTTCATAAGAAGTCTATTAGCCACAAATTATGCAAATTAACAAATATAATATAAAAATTAAATAAAATATTCAATAAAATAAGGGAATTAAACTTATTGTCATGAAGTAAACAATTATTTCATACATACAGGCAAGCCATTTTAAAAAAGGAGTTGAAAATAGCCATTTTTACCAAAACTTGCAAAAATTAGAGAATTAAAGCTAGTGTCGCAAAATGAAGAAATCTGACCATTTGATCCACTTGATGTGTCTACATATAAAATCAGAAATGTTGTTTTCAACTGTACAGAAGAACTATATCAGCTGACAGTCTGCTTGTTGACTACTGTGTTCAGAGCACACAATGGGAGTCTTTGTAGTTAGTTCATCTGTGTAGGCATCTATTTAAAGATGTCTGTATATGTGTGTCTATTCTACCAATACCTCAAGAACCAAGTCATTAGATTTCAAATAAACATGGTATGTAGATGCTTTGGGATAATGTGCAGACTGAAATATGTAAATATTTCCCTCCTTCCCAAACTAAAATATTTTTTTGGGGGGAAAAACAAAAACTATTTTTTATTTTAAATGTGTATTCTACTGATTTTGACCTTTTGATGTATCAAAAATCTTGTACATCTATATTTTGTTTATGTTTTCAGATGAATCTTGATGTAATCTATGGTGATACAGATTCTATTATGATTAATACCAATACAACTGATTTAGATCAAGTGTTCAAAGTAGGAAACAAGGTAAAAGACATAGTTCAAATGCAGTCAGACTATTTGTCGTTGACCTAGCTTGGTTTTTGTTCACAACTGATTCTCCAAGATGACTTGGTTCACTTCAATCAAACTTGGTGTTGGCAAGCAGATGTAATCCTATTCTGTATAACTCAGTGTGAACTAATGCCAATTTCATTCACATAACAAAATATATATTGTGTTGTATCTGCAATATATTAATTACAAATATTTACACTTTTATTTGGTTATTTATAGTAGTTGAGATTCAAAGTTGATTTATGAATCATTGACTTAAACGTCATCTTGGTGACGTCAGTTATATTGTTGACTGGGGCTATGTCATTTTAGTAATTTTTACCTTTAGTAATTATTTTCTAATGGTTACAGGTTAAAAGTGAAGTTAACAAGCTCTATCGGTTGTTAGAAATTGACATTGATGGTGTGTTCCAGTCAATGCTGTTACTGAAGAAAAAAAAGTGTGTATTTTTGATGTTTTTATGTAGTTAGATACTCGGGAGGGGTTAATGAAGAAAATTTACACAGATTTAATAGATAAAAGCCCACATAAATTTACAGCAACATAACTGTGAACCAAAAAGCTCAAAACATAATTTACACCTTAGAGTTTCTGATAGTCAACCTCTTATTAGCCCCCGCCGGATCTGCGACCCGGGCGGGTGTATTAATTTGGGTCGTGTCTGTGCCAATGTGTGTGCACATTTTCATGTTAACAGCTTTTTCTCACACATGTGTGATCCAATTCAGTTAAGAGTTGGTACAGAGACAGAAATTGATGGTGCTATTAAGCACATTAAGTTATTTTTTCGATTCTTCAAAGTTTCACAGTGTTTTTCCTTGATTTTTAACATTTTTCCTTCAAAACTGCTGGAAAATTCGACTTTTCCCCAAATTACCCGAGTTTAATCCGAGTTTTGATGACGCTTACGCAGTTCTCGTCTCGGTGGAAATCAGTCATTTTTGTGAGGATATTGTATCCCGGAATTGTATCTTTATTTGCGCGACACTTATATGGACAAAACTGTGTCTCGTCAATTTCAAAGGTAAGAAACTGTGCTTGTTATGGTATTTATACACTTTGTATTATCGTTTGTGTCTCGGGTTTGGTGATCGTGAGAAACTATTGCTAACCTGGCGAGAGTTTCGCCAGAAAAACTGCCTTTTTATTATGGTTGTAGGAACTGATTATGTATTGTGTAAATTGAAAGTTTACCTCGTGATTTAAGAGGTTTGCAGTGCTCTCACCGGGATTCAAAGGTCGTGGTGGTGTCGGCGCAATGCTGCTCTGAGACGCTTGCCAGACTCTGCCTCGCTCAAAATCATTATCGCCATGCTTGATTTCCGCAACATTTACATTTGTTTATGATTTCCACAGCTATTGTTCTATGAGATGCGTCCTCGCTGTTCATAAACAGCCATAAACAAGTTTAGTTGGGTCGGCATGTACTCATTGAAAGTGTTGGTTTATTTACGCAATCCACTGATCACGCAATAGGCGAAGTTAAAAATATGTCGCTACTCAGGAGAGCTTGCCCACAACGCTAAATGTCCCAATATAAACATACCGGTATGTTTATTTTTTTCCACAGAAAAATTCCACCCGGTACATTTTTATTTGGGACGGTATGTTTATTAGTCCCCGTTCGGACGTAGTCCGAAAACGGGGACTTATGTTTTGCCCTGTGTGCGTCCGTGCGTGCGTCCGTGATCACCTGTATCTCGAACATGCATGGACCGATTAAGTTCAAACTTCACTCATACATCACACATTATATGGGACATATGCACATGCATTTTTTCAATGATCCGATTAACGATAGCCGAATAGCGGCCATTTTAAGGCCG